AATGCTTTTGGAGGTACTCTGGGTGAGTATCTCTGGTGAAGGGCACTACAGCACGGTAATAACTGTATTGTCACATGCTATCGGGAAGATGGTTTACAGTGACCTTCTGAGGAGCTTTTCTGTAACTATCTAATTTTTGTTTGTGTTGCAGGGGGTTGGTGAACATTCCCTGCTCTAGACATCAATGGATTATTTGAATTAGTCGGTGGTAATCTGTATTAACGCTAGAAACCACATAATGCAGAACGATGAAGTCCTCACAGAACGCACAGGGGGAACGTAACTCATTTGTGCCCAAGTACAACAGCTATTAAAGATGACCCTTTGCCCTGTGTAGGTACCTTTGGGTTCTGGGGATGTTGGAGAGGAGTGTCTGTATTAAACATCTGTTTTGAGTGCTTGGATCGGCATCTGCGTGTGATTGAGTTCTCAAGTCTGGCCAGAAAAGCAGCAGAGATTGTGAGACAAGACAGGGGTCTGCCACCTTTGTATAATTAGATATTCCATCTGGACAGTTAAGAAGGTACCTTGCCATTCAGCAGTCTTCTTGGAAGACAAAGGTATCGTGACAGCACATCACTTGGACAGAATCTGAAAGATTGCAGACAAACTAGGATTTTAGGCTACAGGGATTACCAAATACTGCCCTGCTGCAGGCTGAGATGTATTAAGGTACCAAGCCCTGGTTCCTATTTGCCTTGATAAAATCCTTTTGAAGGGTGACAGTATTCATGAGCATTAAAAGTGTAAGCAGGTAAAGTACAGAAGTCAGGATTTCTGATTACAGGAGAAATGGAACAAAAAACCTATGAAGATTACACTGGAAACGATGTCGTGGTGAATAAGGAGTCAGGCTTCAGTCTTGGGGAGAACAGGCATCCAGCCTAGTTTAAATTATATGTTAGAATTTTTTTCTTTTCAAACTTGATCTTGGATTTTCTTCTGTCACCTCATATCCTTTTAAGGTCCGTAGCACTGTAGCCATGCATATTTATTAGATTTAGGCATATTTTGCAAGTCACCTTCACAACTTGTTTTGTTTTCCTGGAAAAACTGGTTGGTTACCAGATGGAATTTGCAAGTCTAATCTTTGGCGTTTATTAACCCTTATTAATCTGGTTGCTCAACGGGACAGATAAGTTTTCAGGCTTATTTGCAATTTGATTTTCTTTAATATGCTAATCACGGTCTATACTTCTGTTTAGATTTCGCAGCCTAGATTCCTTCACACATGAAAGTGACCTGCATATTCAGCATCCTGGGAGAGAAACAGTGGTCCAGATTGAGGGAGAAGAGTGGTCCTGCTGTTTGAGAGAGAGCAAGAATTAATTATTGGCCATTCCTTTCTCTCAGGGAGCCGCAGGCATGAGGAGCGGGTTTATATGCCTGCAAATGCTTTCTTTGCCTTAAGCTCACAGTGAAGCCAGTGTAGAAAAGGCAGATGATACACTGTTTTTCCTCCCCAAACCAAGATGCATCCCTGAACCTGAGCTAGAAGCACTCTGTCTATTTGCTTGTGGTATTTCCAGACCTGCTGAAGGCCTAGAAAGCGCAGCCGCTGACACACACACAGAGTTGCTTATTGAGGCAGAGGTTGGGGCATTGGAAGGCAAGTTTTGGAAATAAACACAGCTGTGTTTTTCCCATGACACTGTGTCCTCAGTTACTGGGTCGGTCAGCCACATACCTGGTCCGTGCAAAGGTGCAGGGTAAATACACTTCCCTGGGGAATCGCTAGGACTCTAGGATCTACTCTTGAACTTCATCTTGGATAGGATTCTCCGATGTTTGAATCAAATAAACCGGTGGTTATACCTACTACAGGGGATGGTTAGAGCTTACCGATAGTAAGGAAAACAACCTGCGGTGGAATATAGTCAACCTCTGTCATCAGTTGTGCTTTCAAACACCTAATTGCTTCCAACTCTGCTTCAACAGACTTCAAGCCGTGCTCCCCGAGGTTCAGTTTCAGATAAACCCGTCCAAGTTCCCTGCAGAGAATACTCTTCCTTTTGAGGCAAACAAACTTTTTATCTGCATCACTGTAATTGAGAAGCTTCTGAACAGATCTTGTTCATGTTCTACTGCAAATGCCAGCTCTGGCCAAACCCACAGCCACAAAATACTATGGTTCAGGGTTTCAGAGGGAACAGTGGCCTTATTTTCAGAAGCATAGTCCAAAAAACAGAGACTGCCAACTTGGCGTGAGGCCCAAGGAATGGGGCAGCTCATATTCCAGCACTGAAGCAATCCCCACTGCTGCACCAAGTTAAGCTCATCTTCACTGCAGGCTTAGGCTGGCTGACGAGCATCTCTGACCCTCATTTTCACTTCAGAAAGTCATAGCTGGAATGATTTGGGCAAGCTGGATTTTCTGTGCAGTCATAGGGTTTGTGCTTGGCCAGCAGAAACATCTGCCCGAGATGAAGACTGCTGGGTCCGCAGTGGTGCGTGGAGCTCCCTCCGGGCTTCCAGGCCGCCAGGAAGCCCTAAAAAAGCTTTAGTGTGCAAGCAGAGCTGCTTGTCACATACCACTAGCACAACAAAGGGACTCATTCACACCAGGAAACGCAAGGCACAGTGGAAAAGTAGCCTTGAGTTATCTGGGTGCCCAAGAGAGAATTCAGCACCCCTGGCAATGAACAAAGCCGGCCCGTTATCAGCTTGGGCTGGTGCCACCAGCAGAGACAACCCCCCTGTTTCCAGTGGACCATTTCAGTTGAAGCTTTTTAGACGTGACTTGGGAATACAATGCTGGGATTATCATCACCACAGCCTTGGGAAGCAGGGTTCCCCTTCCTGAAATGCACTGTAGTCTTTGCAGTAAAGCTAGCCTGTTTGTATCCTCCAGTTCCTCCTTTCCCAGCACTGCCTGGGATGGGGACAAACAAATTGTCTTTTCTGGCATCTCGTGTACTAAAGGAGTATTGTCCTACCAGCACTCCCCGGGGTGAGTCGGCTTCTTTAGTTCTCAAGTAACCCAATGTTTTTTTTTTTTTTCCCACCAGTTTTTCAATTAAGCAGAAATTCATTCCACTTCTGCTAACCGCTGGCCATATGCTGCTCCCAGGTACTGTAAAAATGCAGAATTAATCACTTGCCCTCTGGTGCTGGGTGGAACCACCAACTTCGTGCCC